TATTTTATATAACTTGATCTCAATATAGTTATGCTCCTTTTATGAATGATTAAATGTAGTGATTGTATTAAATACACATAATCACTTGATATATATATTAAGTGCATATAAGTATGAGAAGTAAACAATTTTCATAAAAATAAAAATAAAAAAGCAAATCTTTCCAACTAAAAAAGGGAAAGAAACCAAAATTTAATTAAACTAACCTATCAAATATTGGGTACGAACCATAAAGGTGCAGTATGCAACTGGAACGAAGAACGAGTTTTGGAGTAACTAAAATGTCTAATACTCTTATTTGTGAAGGAAAATACTTCAAAGTCGCATTTGTTTGATTCGTAACACGGGTAATCAAAGGTAAAATAAATACTGTTTCTTTCAACCTTCTGACCATAGGGGTACGATATAACGGCAGAATGGTGGTTGCTAACAAATAATACCCGATCACCAAGTTCAACAACCTCCATCCATTGTGGACCACCATCAATATCACACTCCAGTTTGAACACTCGAAATCCTTTAGTCTTAGGTGGCTCAGTGTAATGAAAGGTCTTTCCAAGCATGACCTTATGCCAAGCATCGGACATTAAACACGTTTCTTGTTTAGGCTTGTATGCATAGTCTGCCTTAAGAAAAATCATAAACAACTCCATGGATGCAGAATCTTTTGCTAGGTGAACGAAATCACGGCCATTGTAATGCTCTACTCTTCTTCCATTATAATCAATTTTTAACGAAAGAAAGTGGAAAAAAGGAAGGACGTGTGTTGGGTTCAATTTTCGACTACAAACATTGAGCATAAAACCATGACAGCATCAAAATGCCAGCTAAGCTTACTAAGGCTTAATACATTAATAAAACTAAAAATTCATTCATATTGATAATAAGGCTTAATACATGAATAAAACTAAAAATTACAACCGAAAATCTTTGCCGAAATTTTCAAATCGGTCAAATGAAAAAAAGAGTGTCCTGCACCCTTTTACATTAACTAAAACTAACAAACTAAATTTAATTAAGCGTTGTCGGCCCCCTGTGGTGCCCTCTGCATGATAGCATTCCACCGAGTGACAGCCCAATTCCCAACAGCAGCCCCACACGCTTTCCCCTCAGTGACAGCCCAATTCTTAACAGCAGCCCCACACGCATTCCCCTTAGTGACAGCCCAATTCTTAACAGCAGCCCAACAGGATTTCCCCTTAGTGACAACCCAATTCCAAGCGACAGGGAAGTTACTTGTCACCCAATTTTTAAGAAGTATCCACCTATTCCAGCAATATTCTAAGCATCGCCTAATACGTCTGAAAATACATTTACCTAAAATTGAAAATATAGTCCTCGGATTCTCGATCCCGGCTATTACACTGTCGTGATGGCTCTTGAACAAAAGCACACCAACGCAGGTTGTAATAGATAGACTAAACAACCCGTATTCGTAACCCTTTAATTTTGTTCCCCCGTCAATTAGTTTTATAAAATAAACTAAAATGACACCATTTATTCCTATGGAAAAATCTAGAAAGGATAGGGCTCTAGGATGTCTTAGGAATAAAACGAAAGAAATTAAGAAATAGGAACAATTCAATAAGGTGAAAAGGCATATGATGCACTCGGGTCAATTATATTCTGTATATAAAGTCCCAAAGCCCATAAACCTAACTCTATTATTTCCCCCACATAACCAATTTCTATGATGGCCACTACTCTCGGGGTAATATTTTCTCTTTGCTTATAGATAACAAAGAGAAAAAATGCATCCAAAAGCATGAATGGAAGGGCAAAAATGAGATAGCTGTCCGATTTCAACACTTTTGACACGGGTGGAATGAACTTAATAGAGGGGATGATAAAAAATGCTTGAAACAGGTTAAACAATACCGTCGCCATGCTGAAAAATATTTCTGGTTCATGCTGAGTCGCATTCCCCTCCGTAGGTTGTCCTGGCTGAGCAGCATTTCCTCCCTCCAGAGGTTGTCCCGGCTGAGCAGGGGGCAGAGCAACATTCCCCCCCTCCGGAGGTTGTCCCGGCTGTGCAGGGGGCTGAGCAACATTCCCCCCCTCCGGAGGTTGTCCCGGCTGTGCAGGGGGCTGAGCAACATTCCCCCCCTCCGGAGGTTGTCCCGGCTGAACAGGTGGCTGAGCAACATTCATTTCCTCCAGAGGTTGTCCCTGAGCATCATTACCCCCCTCCGGAGGTTGTCCCGGCTGAGCAGGCGGCTGAGCAACATCCACCCCCTCCGGAGGTTGTCCCTGAGCGTCATTTTCCTCCTCTGCAGGTTTTACTAAGTAAACAATGCAGGCATAGAGCACAAACAGGAGGAAAATACCTCCGTAAAACGAAGGTATAATGATAGCCAAATGTTCCATTTCAGAACGGTAGAACAGAGAAGAGGGAGAAAAGAAGAAGGAGAGAGAGGAGTTTACAGAGAAAAGGGAGAGAGGAAGGAGATAGAGGGAGTGAGTAAGAGAGAGAAGGAGGGAGGGAGAGTGTGAGAGAGTGAGAGTGAGTGAGCGGGTGACTAGTGAGTGACTGTAGCTGTAAATATAGGACTTCAAACGTGGCAGCTGTCATAAATGGGTACTAAAGATTCCTTTGGACAAATAAAAAAGGAAAACAGAAAATCAAAAAACATGTAGTCATCGTGACCGCAACTGTATACTGGTGCAAAACCTCCTCAACCTAAAACTTAATCCCGCCCTTGCATTCCTTTTGCAATTAACTTTATACATTTTATGGATACTATTACCGTTTTTGTCCATGTAGTCATGCAAGTATGTAGAGAAGCTAAATTTTTAAACCCGGTCACTTATATACATTTTACGCAAAATGTTACTGTTTTTGTTCATGTGTCGTACAAGAATCATAAGACCAGTCATGCAAGTTGAAATAACATATTTGGATATACTCTAAATTCACTTAACTTGTCGAAAGAGAAATTTGAACTCGAACGTTCAAGCCTTCTTTGCATAAACAAATATCATAAGACTTGTCATGCAAGTCGAAACAACATATTTTACAAGTATGATTAATATAAAAATCAATGAACAAACTATATCTAAAACTAAAATACAGAGTTGACAACACATTTTATAATTCAATAGAAAAATATCAGAAATCAAAACATTTTGGTATCAACATAAGTTAGGTGAACACTTTGAAAAAAAAATTATATCGGAAATTCCTAGTTATCAGAATCTCTAAATCCATTCAGATTTTCATTTCAACTTTTGAAAAACAATCAGATTCGAAATTTTTGTGTAGAGATTCAAACATTTTATTGTCGAAAATTAAAATCCCAGGACCCCTAGTTGAATCATATTATTTAAATGATTAAGATATCAAATGAGCTGAACTCCAGTCTACCCTGAAATAATAATTTATCTTTATCACAAACCGAATGTCATATCCACCATTAGCTATTTATGGTTGAAACTTCAAGAATTGGAGATAATTAGTAAGTGATAATCGTTTGACACGGAGAATGGTAATATTATATGTAAAACCTTTATTTGGATTCTGACCATAACAAAATTCTTTCTTTCCACATCTTTTATTTGGAAACGCCAGTTGAACCTATGAACTTATGAAAGATGTGACAAGCTATGACTGACTGACTGCGGAGGGCCACAACTTTTATTTACCTGTTGGCGCATTACAGGTTCAACTTTCACAATTGTGCAGGTGGACGTTTTATTTGTTTCGTTCAAGAATCATAAGATCGATTATGAAAGTTGAAATAACATATTTAGATTTGTCCTAAATTCACTTAACTTTTGAAACGAGAGATTTGAACTTGAACGCTCCAGACTCCTTTTCATAAACAGATATCATAAGATCAGCCATTCAAGTCGAAATAACATATTTTTGCAGGCAATATTAACACACTAGAAAACGTATGATAAAAATTGAGTGGTGTAAGTTTGATTACTTATTCATAAATTTAAGTTTTGTTGTTAATTCCAATCTGTACTTGATGATAATTATGAAATAATTAAGAAAATAATTCATATTTAAAGTTTTAAATCATACGAAGTTATTTAAGCTCAAATAAAATTTATCTTTTTAAAACCTAGGGAGTTTTGTTAAAACACAAAAAATCTTAAGAGCGATATATATTAAACAACATTAAATTAATTTAATCATTAAAGTTTTAATCATTCTTAACTCTCTAACCAAACACCAACATATCTACTATTCCTGCAAACCAAACACCGGCTTCTCCCTCACATTTGCCCGGCACCTTGCTCTCCCACAGTACAAACCAAAACAACGAAGCAGCCACCTACTGCTAGACCAAAATTGTTGGAGCAGGCTTGCCGTTGTTATTGAAAGCAATTCCGGAAAAAAAGGAAAAAAAAAAAAAAAAAAGGCGTATGAAGCGGCATTGAATCGGCACCCGAGACCGTCATCTTTGTCATTCCCCTTTGGACAAACAAAAAAACGTGTAGCCATCGGGTATATTGGTGGAAAAAAAGATCAACCGAAACCCTAATAGCCAATACCACGAAAAAGAAAAAGAAAAAAAGAACCAATTGGACTAAGAAAATACAAAAACAAAACATGTTGCCAATGTGACCGGTCCGCAACGGTGCACAACATCAAGCCTATTAACAAAAATTGGAAAGAAAAAAAAAAAAATACCAAAACGGGGCATATCTGGAAAGAGGGTATAGAGGCATCTGCGAGTGAGGGCGAGTGGGGATATTGGATCGTTATTTCTTGCAGTGTTTGATATGTCTTTGTTAGAAAAATGGACTATATGAAATATGATTATCATTATATTGACGTCTTACAACAATATACAAAGTTATTGCATCAAGACTCCATATGATTTTATATAATTGGATCTCAATGTAGTTATGTTCCTTTTATGAATGATTAATTGTAGTGATTGTATTAAATAAACATAATCACATGATTTATATATGTATTAAGTTCATATAAGTAAGAGAAGTAAACAATTTTCATAAAAAATACAAATAAAAAAAATCTTTCCAACTGAAAAAAGGAAACAAAACAAAATTTAATTAAACTAACCTATCAAAGATTGGGTACAAACCATAAAGGTGCAGTATGCAACATGTGCGAAGAACGACTCTTGGAGCTACTAAAATGCCTAATACTCTTATTTGTGAAGGAAAATACTCCAAAGTCACATTTGATTGATTCGTAACATGCGTAATCAAAGGCAAAATAAATACTGTTTCTTTCAACCTTCTGACCATGGGGGTACGACATAACGGCAGAATGGTGGTTGCTCATAAATAATACCCGATCACCAAGTTCAACAACCTCCATCCATTGTGGACCACCATCAATATCACACTCCAGTTTGAACACTCGAAATCCTTTAGTCTTAGGTGGCTCAGTGTAACGAAAGGTCTTTCCAAGCATGATCTTATGCCAGCAAGGATCGGTTAGTGAACTCATTTCTTGTTTAGGCTTGTATGCATAGTCTGCCTTATGAAAAATCATAAACAACTCCATAGATGCAGAATCTTTTGCTAGGTGAACGAACTCACGGCCTTTGTAATGCTCTAGTCTTGATCCATTGTAATCAGTTTTAACGAAAGGAAGTGGAATGGAAGGACGTGTGTTGGGATCAAGGGTTATCAACTTAACGACCCTATAGCTAAGAGGACCGCCATTGCCTTTGGTGTCTTCGATCATCTCAAATACCATTAAAAACTTGGACTCTAAGGACGTTGTAGCATATAACTTACCGCCCAGTATGACTATACCATTAACAAAGGGTATTTCCTCATCAATCGAGCTCCATGATTGATCCCTTGGCCTACAATAAGTCAGATGACCCTGTTTGCAAAGACAAACCACAAAACATGGCTCCTGACTGATTGTTTTTGGTTCAGAAGAGGCAATAATTTTAGAAACGGAGAAGTCAGGACCATTGATGCAGCGGCATGGAAGGGTGGACTGCGACGAGGGGAGCATCACTCGATCACCAGATATTGGATTGAAGAAGAAGAATTCTATTTTAAAATTAGGGTTCTGACAATTTTTTAGGTAGAATGACCAAGGTTTCATAAAACCCTCTGGACGCCTCAACGCACTGTCGACCATGATCAACCATCCCTCTATTGAGCCAACACAATCCATCCTATTCATTGTACAATAAAAAATTGTATTTGGCCATGATCGTAGAAATTTATGATCTTTCCAATCACCTGGACTTAAAACGCGATGATCTCTAGTGGACATGGGATGAGAGTTTAACATAAGCCATGGAACTTGATCCTGAGCAAGGGGACGGCGTGACTGAATATTGCTTTTAATAATTGCTTGCCATGAACGGCATACTGCAGCACATCGAACGTAGTCTGATAAGCCCAGTCGTCGTAGAATCAGTTGCATAACATCTCCCGCGAGTTTATTGGACCAGGGGCTGCTGTCCTCTACTTTCGAGATGATCATTCTTCTTCTTCTTCTACATATTATGAAGATGATCATTCTGAACTTCCGGCCAATGAAATCGAGAATGAGCAACACAAACATTCTTGATAGGCGGTAGTATGTTAACATAGGTGGAAGCATTCTTTCAGGATATGCACGAATAAGTGCCAACGATCCAAAAAACACAGTGTAAAAGATTATGCCTTCGACCAAATCCACAATTATACTCTTGTCACGGATTTCTCTGCGGCACATAAAAAAAACATGGATTGTTAGGAACGGAAAGTGTAAAGCTAGCTAGATTAAATGCAGGAACAAAACATAATTCTTCTACAAAGCCGCAATTAAGAACAAAGAATAATATAGTGATTTAGAGCACATTTGCATGTACATATATTGCACATAAAACCTCCAATTGACGAAATATCTTTAGTTTGTTATTAAAATTGCAGACTTTGAAGCTTATTACCATCACGAATGAAATATTTGCAGTTTCGAAATCAATTATCTACAAAGTAACAGACGAGACATACATTAATACTTGATTATCAATCACAAGGGCACTAGGGCAGTAACCAAGTGTGCATGTGATTACCTTGTTTTTTCGTCGAGGTAGACCATCAGGAGGCGCCTCATCGCGAAAGTTTTGAAGAAACCCTAACTAAACTAATTAATAAGGATCTTGACTTGCGTGTGCACCCCTGGTTGGAAATGAGCGAATTTATATATACATATATACGTGCTGTTCCCATGTTTTAAAGTCTTTACGTGTTTATCTCTAATTTTTTGAAAGAGTCTTGGTCTTATCCTTGATCGCTAGTGAAGCTAAGTATTATCACCACTTTGGTTTAATTTATCCAACAAAATCGCGTGTTATAATTTGAATTAAATAAATAATTACACGTGTTTGTGTTGATTCTCTTTCCGTAAACCTTCTTCTGAAAGTTTTGAAGAAACCCTAACTAGCCTATGCCTCTTGACTTGCGTGTGTACCTCTGGTTGGAAAGGAGCGAATATATGCATGTCTTAGGTTCTTATCTCTCATTAATTTCCATTTCTCATTAATCGAAATTTGAAACCTTTCTCATTTTTCGAATCTATCAAGGTATTTTGACTTTTGACCATGTCATTATTCTAATATTAAATTATTACATGTCATCGTATGTCATTTTCAAAAAATGAAAAACTTATTAATGATTTCTAGATGTATCTTTTTAGAATTTTTCATATATTTTTGTTTTTATTTTTTACTCAATTTTCAAATTTGTACCAATATTCTTTTTAATTTCAATTTGTACCCATAATTTTAAATTTTAATATGTGCTCATTTTTTCAATTTAATTTGTACCCATATTTCTTTGTATGTTTCATATATTTCTACTTTTAATTTGTACCCTTTTTCAAATTTGGACCAACATTCTTTTTAATTTCAATTTGCACCCATAGTTTTAAATTTAATATGTACCCATATTTTTTAATTTGATTTATACCCATATTATTTTTTCTGAATATATGTATACCCATGCTAATTACATGGATTTCTTTTATGTTTTACAATATACAAATATTTAGTTTTTAAGAAGTTCTCTAGCTATATATCAAGAAGCAAATTAAGAATTTCTCCAAATGAACATGAATATTGTACACTAATCAATATAATAAATAAAACTGAATTCATTTCCTGGTTCGTAATTCTCAAAGCAACAAATAATGACTTCATCTCTCAATTATTTACACAAATTTGCAGTTGTATATGGATATATACTGAGGAGGAAAATGAGAGTGTGTAGGTTATGTTATGGTGAGGACTCTGTCACGCTTTTTTTCTCTGGTGAGGGTGGGTGTGGGAGGGAATGGAAGAAGGTGGCTTTTCTGCTGCTTTCTGGTTGCGTAGCACATTTTGTGGAATTTACCAATTTAGCCTTGTTTTTGGACTGGTGTGGAAGACCAAGCAATGACCAAGTCAACGCAGGCCCAGCACATATCCCCCTCACGGACATGGATCCCCTTCGGACCATTGGTTCTAATCCACCAAATTTTATAATTTATGAAATTTGATTAAATGGTTACAAATAAAAGTATATTTTAAAAAATTATAATAATTTAATGGTTTTGATCAAATTTTAATGGTTCGGATTATAGAATTTCGTGGATTAGAACCACTGGTTTCGAAGAGGATCCATGTCCCCCTCAGTACACCCGGCACTGCACACCAAAGCACGACAGCGCTGCAGCGCAGACCCAGCACGGAAGAGAGATACCCATTACCCACTGAAAACCTGCGGATTTTAGCAGCCGCGAGGCGACAGAGAGGCGCCCCACCCCGCCGCTGTCCTGTGTTGTCAGCTGCACCTCTCGAAACGGGGGGCGCGACACGTGGAGTTGTACGGCGGATCCGTTTCTGGAAATGTGAGAGTATGCGAATGTGGTGTCGTTTGGTGGCAAATGCCAAATGAGAGAGTTTAAAAGAGCGGGACCCGTCAAGTCAGATCATTCTGGAGCACGAAATTTTTGACCTTTGCTGGGTTTTTGGAGTGGGAAAGGAAGCAAACAGAGCCCATAGGAGGAACCAATTAATAAGCAACTCCAAAACGAGTTTATCGAAATAATAAATATCCTACTATTCTCGTTTGGGATGCAACCGTAACACAAAAATTCAGTCTATGAAAATGTGTGTCCTTATTTTGTGCAACTTTTGGATGTTGGATTGCACAATATAACAATGAAAGGTGGAAAGACAAAAATGATGTCGTTCGGCTTCGAAGTAAAAAATTGAGATTCGTTTACATACTCGGATTAAGCTTTTGGTTGGATGCTCATTTACTTTGGTCTAGCTCACCCCGCCAGTTTCATAAAACAAGGTTGATGTGTTTCATTTTTTGTTAATCAAGTTAGACGAGTGTAACAACGGGAACTAGTTTTTGAATTTGTCGCATCATTTGGTATTCAAAAGCTATGGAACTAAAATTGGGAACCCATATTGTTCCAAGAATACATGAAGCATATATGCTAATTAATAAAAATGATTTTTACAAGTAATTATCCATAAGCAACAATTAAGCTTAGACGGGCTTGGCCCCAATGGCCCGAAGACATAACGGTTCGCCTAAATTCAAGCATTCAATTCAACCAACGATGGACTTGTAGCTTATTTAATTAAGTACTCGACATCTTGTGTTTGATTCTCACCCTTAAATATCGCCCGTTTCGATCTCTATCTCTCCCTCTCATCCATGGCTGCTGAATAATTGTTGGAGGATATTTAGACGTAAAGAAAAGAGGAGTAGTGAAACATATAGGAAACTTCCATGTAAAAGAAAAAAAATTATATATCAATTTTAACTTTAAATATTAAATTACGACCATTGGATTTTTATCAAACGGATAAGAACATAAGCTCAGGTAAGTGTCCGAGGAAGAAAATTAGGACTAAACAATTCTTTCCACATTATTTCCCTATATGGTATTTGCTGACCACAATCAATCTTCAATGTTTCACACGGTAATGTTATGTGTTCAATTTTTAATGCTGGTGCATCACGTAATGGTGATTATGGAGGCTAAAATGTTTTTGTAAGTCTTTCCGACCTTCATAAAAGTCGATTGCTTTGACGAAACAACCAGATGCTTCATTTGAAAAATAAAATAAAAATAGCAGAACTTTTTAATTTTTCTATTTATGTCCCATCCTCTAATATATCAATATATATTTATGCAAAATACCATTATACCCCTGCATTCCTTTTGCAATCAACTTTATACAATTTATGGATACTATAACTGTTTTTGTCCATGTAGTCATGCAAGTATGTAGACAAGCTAGATTTTTAAACTCGGTTACGTATATACATTTTATGCAAAATGTTACTGTTTGTGTTCATGTAGCTCGTGTGCATTACAAGTTCGATTTTCATAATTGTATATATGCACGTTTTATTTGTGTCGTACAAGAATCATAAGACTGGCCATACAAGTTCAAATAACATATTTGGATATGCTCTAAATTCACTTAACTTATGGAATGAGAACTTTGAACTCGAACGTTCCAAACTTCTTTGCATAAACAAATATCATAAGATGGGTCATGCATGTTGAAACAACATATCTTTGCAGGCAATATTAACACCAACAACATATCTACTATTTCTTGCAAACCAAACACCACCTTCTCCCTCACATTTGCCCGGCACCTTGGTCTCCCACAATACAAACAAAAGCAACGAAGCAGCCACCTATTGCTACAACACCACAATTGTTGGAGCGGGCTTGGTGTGTTGTTATTGAAAGCAAATCCGAAAAGAATAAAAAAAGAAGGCGTATGAGGTGGCATTGAATCGGAACCCTAATAGCCAATACCACGAAAAGAAAGGAAAAAAGAATTTGTACCAATTGGACTAAGATTAAAGGAAAAAAGAATTTGTACCAAAGTGACCGGTCCGCAACAGTGCACAACATCAACATCAACATCTACTGAAAGCCTAATACCAAAATTGGAAAGAAAAAAATAAAAAAGGAAATATACCTAAACTGTGGTGGGCCCACAGTAAAAGTTATTTGAAAAAGGAAGGCAGGTGGGCCCAAAAACTTGTAGGGCATATCTGGAAGGAGAGTATAGAGGCATCCGCGAGTGAGAGCGAGTGGGAATATATTGGAACGTTATCAGCCACATACCAGGTCAATGACATCATAGTCTGATGGGGTACCCACCCCGCAACCGGCTTGTCATTTGCACCCATTGGCAGGGTCACCCGAACCCACCTCCTCCTCCCACCTCAATTGGAAATTTGGATTTTCAATTCAACCTTGTTTAAGCATATATGGTATTATTATCTCCTTAAAAATATTGTTTAATTCAATATCCGATTATCATTTTGACCGTTCTTCTTCTTCTATTACGATTTTATCCATCATAACACACATGATAACTTGGAGAGATTTTTAAAAATCTATCCGGAACAATGTTTGGTGCAACAAAATGTAATAACTCAATTAGTTGGAAATTAAAAAAAAAATCCATGAATTGCATTGTAACATTTGGTGTAATGTTGTTTGTATGTTATGCTAGACCTATTATATCAGAAAGATCAATCAATTCGAGAGTTTTCATTGTTCCTTTTCAATCTCTCTCTCTCTCTCTTGTTTCTCTTTATATCATCTTCTTTTGAACTAATCATTCATCTTTTGCAATGTAGTTAATAGTTCCACCAGATAGACCGTGTGTACTAAATTCCATCTTCTAGTTTTAGGTTTGGTATGTGATCGAGGGCTTGGTCTTGGAGACTTGTTAGGAGAACTCAACAAATTCTTCTCACATTTAGGTAAGACATTAGCTGGCATCAAGGAGGAGTGTTCTGTGTGCCCATTTCAAAGGAAGTGTTCAGTGTGCCAGGAAAACGGCATGGTATACCAAGTGTTACAATACAAATGGTTGATTTTTTTTTAAAGTATCCAACACTTAATGTACCTGATATATATTCTCTGCACACTAAAAAAAATCTCGACAATTTGATATTGTCTTGGTTTTTGTGCTTATGAGCTCGGAGATTAGTTATTACCATAATGGCAAATCTTATTTATTTGTATTTTCGTACTTTTAAGCATATTAAAAACTGCGACACAAAGAGACTTATAATCCATAGGGTTACTGAGCCTACCATGGAGATTTCCAGGTGCAAGTTATGCTCAA